CCGGCATAATCTTCATCACCTCGTCCTTGAGGGAGGGCCCCACCAGTGTGTCTATGATCTGGTACTCCTTGATCGGGAGCGAGTGGAGGTAGATCTGCTCAAGGGATTTGATCCTACCAGCCTGGACCAGCCGGCCGAGCTTGGTAACCGGCACCCACTTCTGCTCCTCGTTGTCGCGGCGGGCGCGGCGAGGCCGGCCGCGTCCTCCCCTATCCCCTCCGCGGCCACGACCGCCGCCAAAACCGCCCCTAAACCCGCCCCTTTCTCCGCCTCTCTGAGTGTCCGACATTTTGCGGTTGCTCTGTTAGAATTTGATGTGAAGAGGAAATGAAGGCGGCGAATGAATGAAAGGTTTATCTGAGAGCTCCAAACCTAGGAGATGGAGGGGCTGGTTTAAATAGTGTGGAGATGAGTAGTGGGCTTAGGGCTTGAAGAACCAGGCCCATTTATTTCGACAATTGGCCCATTTTAAGTAGGGTTTTACCTTCGCTTGTTTGTTGACATTTTTTTTTTCTATTATCAAATTTCTATGATTAACCCCGGTTTTTACTAATTATTTTTCCCATCTATTCTAGATTGTATTAAATAACTTGGAACACTACATCAATGGACGAGTTTCATCATACTCGTGTGCATTAACTCCATATCGATTATAGTCGTCTGATCGACACACATCTAATATCATATAATCTTGTGTAGTTAACCATTGGATCAACATAAGTAGGCTATGTTTGGTAGACACATAAGATAGATTATAGCTTATAAGATCTCTGTATTCAAATAAACCTCGTTTAGTAGGACGAGCTTTTTTAAAAATCTCGAGCTTATTTAAATAAGCTTCCTTAGGTAGCTTTTCAAATAAGCTTGTTGAATTTTTTATTTCAGCTAGCTTATCAACTAATTTTACCAAACACTTTTATCATATAAACTAGTTTATCAACTATAAGTCATAAGTTATAAGCTATAAGCTAAAAAATTACAGATAAGCTATCAGCTAGTTTTGCCAAACATAGCCGTAATCAAAACATACCTAATTTTCATCCTACTCGTGTGTAGTTCGGATCAACAAGAGCATATGTGTAAATTTCTGGTCTCATAAGAGTTATAGTCGTCCGATTAACAACACTTGTCTGAACTTCATCTTACCACGAGTAGGCCTATAAACGAGCCAGAAATCGAGCTCGAGCTTGGCTCGTTTATCACTATTAGCGATCCAAGTTCGAGCTTTAACGAGTCGGTATAGAGCTTTAATGAGTCGGACTATTGAAAATTATATAAAATTTCTCTTATCAAGCTCGAGTCGTTAACCAAACGAGCTTTAAATAAACACGAACTTGACTCATTAAGGCCTCGAGCTCCAGCCGAGCTGAAGTCGAGTTACAACAGGCTCATTTAATCTAATAGCACAAACCACAAGCAACGATTCTTTATTGGTTATAGCCGATGGATTAACACACACCCATGTATGTTAGTTCGTTGAAAATGGGGTTGTAGGGTGTTCAACATGGGGTAGGATCAAGCCTTCAAAGAGAGGGAGAAAGAACATTTATTGTTTTTCATTTAAAGTTTAGTGATATGAGTACTACTTAAATAAAGCTTGTAATATATGTTTACACAAGTTCCTCGGTATCACAATTGTTATTTCTTTCTTTCTTTCTTTTTTTCTTTTTGTGTGTGTGTGTGTGTGTGTGTGTGTGTGTGTGTGTGTTTGAACTTGAAAAGATATAATATTAGTCAAGATTGAGCTTGGGTGATAGAATATTAGTAGTTTACAGTAAGACCTGATCCATAGCCAGAAGTAAGGAAGAAAAACAATGAAAAACTCACACACACACACACACACACACACCCAACGGTGAGCAAATTAAAGTTAAAAATAATAAGAATATTATGCAAATGATTTTCCATGGTACAAGTTGAAGACAAAACCAAACATGAGTATCTAATCTGCCCAGAATAAATCCATTCAACCCAAACAACACTTTGACAACCATGCTTGAGTTGTGATAAACCTGTTACACAGAGAGAATGATGTTAAAATCTTCAAAAGTTTTGGAGAACAAGGTAAGGATGGCAAAATAATAAGGTTTGCTTCAATTTTGACATGTAATGACTAATGAGATCTTATAAGCTCGAACATCTATTTAAACATTGAACCAAAACTTATAAAAAAACCGAAGGACGAGTGCCAACGACCAACAATGTCGGCTACAAAGAACAATCGCATTACATCGATAACCAATAATCTTTTATTTAAACATGCCCAAGAACGGAACTTTTATTCGAACGGTATTTTGTATGCAATGATGGGCAGTATTGAAATAAAATGCCAAAACATACTATTGTCATAACAAATACACGTCGTTTCAAATAACGATGACTACAATCTGCGGCTCTTGTGACATCCTGAGTCGACCTGTTTGTGAAATTAGTACTCATCTAAACCACTTTCCACACAAGATGTAAGTTGGTACCAAACTACCAGTACTTCACAAATTAGAGCATGACTATATTTAGCATATTAGACTCTTCTTAGATCCTGAGTCAACTTGTTTGAAATCAGTACCCATCTTAACCACTTTTCACAGAAAAAACCAAAAAAAAAAAAAAAACACGTATTAGAGCAAAGACTTATTTGCATATTAGATGGACAAGAACGACCAATCGACCAACAGTCGCACAAAGACATATTAAAACATATATACACACATTGTTTCTTTGAGTTCTTGTACTTTTTCGTGCTTCACTAGAGTTGCTCAATGGTACTTCCGCCACTACTTCAGACTTAACAGCTCTAATATTGTCTCAATTGAATAACACCATACAACTTTTGTCAAACCTACTGCTTAATAATCAAATAATCGATACCCACTGACATAAAATCTGGTCCAAATTTTCAACGTTTCGACAAAACCCCCCACAATAATGTGCTTGCAAGCAAATCCAACAATTTAAAAAGAAATAAAAATAGCAATTTATGCAAAACACATAACACATCAAAATACACATAACCCTCCAGACAATTTAGGAAAATAAACCAACAATCCAAGCAGAAACAAAAACATCAACCACAATCTTCAGAAAACTGAAAAACCTTACTTAACGGCGAAAATAGGTCGGAAAAGTTTTTGGCACCGACCCACCACTCGCAGAAGCCCGTGAAGTAGTTGTTGTGGTCCCCACAGTGCCAACCGAAGACTGCCCAGCTTGAGCATTTTGAAAGGCTCCCAACCCGTTCAGAGCTGCCTGTGACCCGTAATTCCCAATCACGCTATAATTACCGCCCATTCCAGCAACTTGCGTGTTCAATCCCGAGGCTGCCGCTAGGCTCGCTGGATTATAGCCTGCCGCTGCTAGGCTGGCCGGACTATAGCCTGCCGCTGCTAGGCTGGCCGGACTATAGCCCGCCGCTGCTAGGCTGGCCGGATTATAACCTGCCGCCAGCATCTGGCTACCGGCCAATCCAAGCCCTGCACTGGGTGCCATCATAAACCCGCCTGCATTCAGATTACCTCCCAAAACCCCAGAATTATTAGCCGTTATGCTACTATAGCTAGCATCGGCAATGGGCTGGCTAGCAGTAGAAGCCCCACTTTGACTTGCCACATTGTTGTTGTTGTTCTTATTCAGATTCTCCACAAACTTCTTGCAGTGCAGCTGGCAATTCTCAAGCACCTTAATCGGCTCCTCCAGTGCTTTCTTGAACGCTTCGGACGTTTTATACGTGATTATAGCAAACCCTTTAAATTTATTGGTTGCAGGGTCCATCCCAAGCGGACCTTCCTCAATCTCGCCAAACCTCTCGAAAAAGGTTCTGAGCTTCTCAACACTAACGTGAGGTCCGACATTTCCAACATACATCTTTCTGCTGCTGGCACCACCGTCCGCAGCTGTGGCTGCACCAGCTGGCGGTCCGAGGGCTGCCAGCTGGCACGAGACCATCCGGCTCCCAATCTTCTTCTGAGGAGCCTTGAGAGCCTTCCGGGCAGAGGCACGTGTCTTGAACACCACAAATGCGTAGCCTTTGGCTCGCCCTGTGTTTTTGTCGGTAACCAATTTGCTGTCCTCGATCTCGCCGAACGGTCTGAAGGCCTGCAGGAGGTGGTCGGAGGTGGCGTCCCAGCCGAG